GCAATGCTAACCATGAGCTAACATACTTCATGTAATTGACTACTTGCTGCATATTGCTTAAATATACCCACTGGATACATCAGTGTTTATCTTCAGAAATGTCCGTGTGCTGATTGGCACGAGTCAATGGATAAAAGCAGCCACTGCCCAGGCATTGGGACTAGCTTTAGAGTGTTTGAGGGCTTTCGTTTCTGGACATCTTCAATCACCTCTTGCTGGTGCGGCTTGCCCTTCTCGTATTCCGACGTAAACGTATTGTATTGCACGCTCGAGCCTGTGTCTACCCTGCATTGGTCGATGTGCTTGTTTGTTGCGATATGTGAAATTTGGATCAGAGGCAGAATTGAGATTGATGGGGCATGACTTTAATTCACCTTCTCATATTGGCCTTCTCCGGCACGTGGAATGAACAGATGGGATTACAGCCTGCGATGAGATCTTGTGATCATGCTGTGATGGTCGAATGCACAAAGCATCACAGCTTTTGCTGAGCTCAGATGCTTGCAACCAACAAGTAATCACCTGTGTAGCCTCTTGACGCAATGCAGCAAATAGAGGCATTTGCTTATGCTGGTTCTTTTCGCTTATGCTGCCTAGCTTTTATACTTGTTGCCGAGTGATATTTCTGTATACTACTTAAATGCAAACATGCATTCTTGCACGCGTCCCAAGGTTTTGGCATAGGTGTCCTGATCAAATCATCGAAACATAAGTATTTACAGCTCAGACAATACTTACAGTGGTCGCTTCATTATATATTATACGTTGCTGGAATATAGCTCGGGGGAAACAACATGAGATGGAATACAATCCACACTTCGAGAAACACATGGACTTGGAGAGCGTATTGAGTAATGATGATAGGTATGGTAACTGAATGTCCAAATTGGTGACATCATCCCCCCCGTAATTATCTTGTTTCCCTTGGGGGGGCCCAGTGGCAGATGAGATACACAAAGGACCGCACCAATTAACAGGATTTTCGTTTAACAACTTTTAGAGTATGGTTCACTGAAGCATCATAGGGGTGATTGAATACAGTACTGTGTTTTTAAAATAAATTAAAAAAAACATCAACGACCTAATACTGTAGGCGTATTATGTAAATCCACGTTTAATTCATGCAAATAAGTGCATGGAACGCATTAGGCACGTCTATATGAACACCGAGGGTCTGCGAATTGTCCTCTTCACCTTGCAAGAGGGGTCATTTGCAAGGGTCTCTATGCTGGTTCTCAGACTCTGTGCTGGTATCGGCATTACTTGTGGGACTTTTAAATATGCAACTCATTTAATACATATCCCTTACCTTGTAGATATTCACGTAAGGTGTGTGTCGCGCAGAGCCCGACATGGGTTTGAAGCTACATTACTGGGAAGGACCAAACAACCATTTAAAATCAAGACCTGTGGCGAACCAATTTAGCCCTTTAGTGAAGCCACCGCAATGCCGCTGAGTTACAGTAAAATATAGTAACCAGAACACCGAGCTGTTAGTGTCTTCATGTATATTTTGTCAATGCAGTACTATACTATAGTATTTGTAGTGGCCCCATGTGAAGAAAAAAAAACCTTGGGTACATTCGTAACTACAACACGCATGTTGAGGCTGGTCACGAGACGTGGTGGCGTTATTATTCGCTGGCGAACAGAATGACAAAACCGCGGACGTTCAGGCCGACACACCTCATTCGAGACCCAACATCGCCACTCCCCATTTGCAGTGACATTCCGCCTCATCGAAGACACCGGTGGAACCATCGACCGCACGAGAACATCAACGGGCCGATGCGCAACACCTCCTCCATGAATGGACAATTAAAGACAATCGACAGAAGTTTGATTGTGGCCGTGCAAGCCAAACTACGGACTACGCAGTGAAACCACAGTAGTCTGCGCCGCGTGCCTGCGTCGATGGAAGGAATAGCAACACCACACGAACTCTCCTCTCCTGAAGCCCTCTCTCTCTCTCTGGTCTTGGCGAGCAGACTTCGAAGTTGGCATTTAGAATAAACTCAAATTGAACCTTATAGCGGGACCCCAGGGTCCCATAAGCCCCCGGCTCTCGCATAAACTGCGTTGCGACGTTATTTTACGTCTGTTGAAGGCGAACGATACGGCCATCTATTCCTCGAGGCGAGCTCTGCACGATGCACTCATCAAAGTTTTGGTTCTTCTGGGCATTCGTCCTCGCTGCTGCTGCGCTTGGACATGACACAACAACAGAATGATCCGCGCCAAGGCGGGTCGCGGCGTTTATGTGCTGCGCGGTGGGACGGAGTCGCCAAAAAGACATCAATCAATTACGATTTTGACTTGCGCTTATTCGCCGTAAGGTTCATTTGTTGGTGAGTGTGGAATTGTGGATCCAATTGCCACATGGCACCCGTTCTGGTGGAGGGGCGGGGGTTGTTTTGGGTGGGGGGGGGCGTGGTTTTGTGTGGGGGCGGAGTGCGGGGTTTTGTGTGTGGGGGATGGGGGATTGTGGGGGGGGGGTTCACGTGAGGGGTGATTTGTTTTGAGTCCCACAGAGTCCTTGGATTAACAACAACAATTGAACTCATTGTGTCAGTAACAATGGCCTTAAATGGAGAGACCAAATATGTATAGGCTAAATATTTATAGTAGGCGACGGAGTCGCCAAAAATACATCAATCAATTACGATTTTGCCCATCTTCATAGCACCCACAGAGTGTGTGGCCAGAGAGATAGAATGGATATATGAATTGAAAACAGCTAGCATCATCAGGCGGATAGCCAGATTTGCTAGTTGTAATTACTGACGAAACGTCGTACTCAAATTGTAAATGTTGTGGCTTGGCTCTCCAACACACCGGTGCGCTGTACTAGTGACGAATTGGCATGTTCTGTTTACGTGACAAACCTTACTAGTTGGCGTGTCGGGTGGTGGCGGGTTTAACGACACTTTTATATATTCGCGATCTAACCCAAAAAAACCTGTATATTATGGATGCTTTAGTTACTACGTGTTAAACTACTTATTTATGTTGTTAAACATTTTAAGGCACTGCTGTTGATAAAAGTGTTGAGTGTTTGCACCACCGTTGAGTGCAGTATTGGGGGGGGGGGGGGGCCTTGGGGAGGTGGGGGGCTCCCCATGGAGTCGAACTCTATCCTCCACCCAGCTGATTCCTCGCGATTTCAATTCAAGATTACGTTCTCTGTGTTTATTATCACAGTATTATTCCGCTTTTTTTTATTCCAGCAAAGCATCACCGAGCCTCAAGACTTTTTTTCAGGAGGGTCCAGCCAAGTGTTTTTTTGCAGCAGGGCGGCGATGGTTCCTGCCTGTGTGTAATGCAAATTGATTCATTTGAGGATTTTTTTGTATGATTTTTGCCAAATTTAGACCATGAAGCCGGCAACACAGGGGCCTAACTCTGTGCAATGTATATTTTAAATCAAGGCCGTAATTATGTATTGGGGGGGAGGGGACACATCCCCCCCAATATTCAAATATGCTCAAAATGGGCGGACACATCCCCCCCCCCCAATATTCAAATATGCTCAAAATGTCCCCCCCAATATATTGCTATAAAAATATATAATTGCTATGCTATATAAATAAAAACAACAATTTGCTAAACCTTGGCCACAATATCTGGACTTGTCTTCATATAAATCAATGCATAGATTTCTGTTTATATGCTTGTGGTTATTGTTGTACTTTATTAATCCCTAATCTCTGCCATTACATATAATGAAACAAGAAAAGGTAAAAAAGTAAAAACAGAGCAATGTAATACAATACACTATTATAAATTATTGTAAAAAATAAATGAAAAGTCCATCCCATGTGTTAGTGATTTTTTTTTATTTTAGGCAGGAAATGAGTTTTCAAATTTAGATATTTTTCTGGGTTGGGACCCCCAGACACCCTGGAAGATTTGGTCCCCCCCCCCCCCCCCCCCCCCCCCCCCCCCCCCCCCCCCCAAATGTTGACTGCATGGCTACGGCCTTGTTTTAAATACAATACACGCGCAGTATTAATAAGGGGGGGGGGGGAGCCGCTGGAATCGAACCGAGAGAGGGAACCTTGCCTACAACATCTGGCATTGATTCAAGTGAGCCTGACTACTGATGAATACACTGATTGTCGAATCCGGTCCAGACGTTGCTCGCATTGAATCACTGCTGCTGAAATTACGCATTCCCGGAAGGACGTTGGGCCCGATGTGTTGTGTGAATAACATTTTTGTTAACAAAAAACAAAACAACTTTACTGTAGAGAGACATGGAGGACATTGTGCCACGGTGTTGAGATGTTAACTACCTCGCCTGGTATGCAGGAGGTCGTGGGTTCGATCCCGACCCTTGACGCCTGCTGTATATTTGAACTTTGCATGTTCTCCTCGTGGTTGTGTGGATTTTCCTCCGGGTTCCTCCGGTGTTTCCCTCCACGTTTAAAAACACGCGTTTAGAGTATCTGGCTGCTATAAATTTCCACGTGATAAGCCACTTCGTTGAGCTATCATTTGTGGCCTGGTCGCTTCTGAGAAAGAGCTATATAGCTCCAGTGGCCTCACCCTGTAACACAAAACATAGTTTAGTTTAATATTCTTGGTTCTTTCGGTAAAGTCACGTAGAAGGGAAATAATAAAGCAACATTATTTTATTATTTCCCTTCTACGTGACTTTACCGAAAGAACCAAGAATATGAATCCCTGCAATCACGAAAGATTTAAATCGAAATTTATAGTTTAGTTTTTTAGTTTATATTACTTATCTACAGTATCTTTTTTATATATTCACAACTATGCTAATGATTTTATAGAATTTTAAAGTGGGGGGAGCGGAGCTTTGTCGCACAGTAGGCGAGGATTATCCCGCGATGGGCGGGACTTGAGCCGTTTGTGGGCGGGGCTTTGTCCCGTTATGGGTGGGGCTTACGCGATTGTGGGCGAGGACTAGGTCAGTTGTGGGCGGAGTTGATCCAATTGTGGGCAGGGCTGGTCTCGTTGTGGGCGGGGTCTCGCGCCGTGGGCCCGCCTCCCTTGGGGAGAGGCTCCGTTCGAGCTCCCGCGGTACAGAGCCGAGCGGCGGGGAGAGAGCAGTGAGCGTTAGAGCCGCGCGCGTTTGCACGCACGCACACGCAGGTAGAGCAGGGCAGGCGGTGGAGATGACGGAGAGCCCAGCCGCCTCGTCGCCCCTGTCAGCTAACGAGTGCGCGAGCGAATGATTGAGTTTAAGCGCAGTCGCCCGTCCGACGCCGACGCTGCAACATCGGCGGCAGCAGCAGCAGCCCCCGTGCCCGAGCGCCGCGCCGCGGGGGAGGAGCCGTTGGGGCCCTCATGCCCGGCCGAATGAATGGGGAGAGCATGAAGTGCCTCACCTTCTTCCTCTTGCTTCCAGAGGCGCTCAAGAAATCCAAAAAGGTCACCGGCAAGGCCAAGAAACTGCCGCCCGTGTGCTATGAGTTCGTGTCCCTGAGCCTGAAGAAGAAGATGGCAGCAGAGCTGTACGGCTCATCTACCAAGGACATGGGCGTGCAGGGCTTGGGTCCTCAGCAGCAGCAGCAGCAGCGCAACCTCAACGTAAACAACAACCACGTGCAGAGCTCCAACTGGCAGGGCCTCTACGCCACCATCAGGGAACGGTACGGCAAGACGCGGGTGTCGTCTCGGCCAGACGTGTGGGGACGGCAGTACCTGACCCTCTATGCCAATGCCGCACCTGGATTCTGCATTGGTTAATGGGTTTATTACTTGGCGTCCTCATGTCATGGTGGCCCGATGTCCTGATGGTCTTGGTGTCCTGATGCCCTGTTGGCCCTTGCGTTTTTGGTGTCACATTGTTTTTAATGTGTACTGATGTGATGCTCTTTGACCGATTGCTTCAATTGATATTGTCCGGTAGTTTCCTATTTAGATCGGTGTAAGCTAAGGGTCACTTGGGCGTTCTGTGCCACCACTCACTGGTGGCCTGGAGAACTTGCTGGCTTGGTATTCTCATGTTTTGATGTCCTGGTCTTTTGATGTCATGTTATTGTGATGTCCTGCCAGTTTATGACCTAGGGTGCTTTGACAATCATGGGGGGGGGGGTGGGTGGATGCTGGTTGTGGCTATGAGAACAGCGTGTGTGGTCATAACTGGAAGCACCAGTGTTGATATTTAGAAAAATATAGTTTAATTTTTCTGTGTGATTGACGAGCTGAATGTATTTAATACAGTACTGTATTTTTCAGATTAGTATTATTGTTGGAGCATATTACGTTCATTCATAGCAAATGTTACGTTATGATTTTACTGTATCCCACATCCATCAAACTTGATAAACTATTTTTAAAAAACATGTATGCATTTGCATTATTTTTCTTGCTTTATTACTTTATGCATATTTAAATGTATACTTTTTTTTCAAACACTGCCTTCAATTAAACAGAAAGCAACATGCAGGCCTTAGTGTACACATTATTAAAGTTGATTGTGTGCCGCGTGTGTGTCTGGTATTGCAGAAATGCTGTCATGTTTAACAATGAGCTGATGGCTGATGTGCACTTTGTGGTGGGTTCTCAAGAGGAGTCCCGCAGAGTACCTGGACACAAGGTAAATATTTGACAAGAACGCCCAGTAGTGAAGAACTTTTGCTCTTAGACATTGCGTGACATTTCTATACAGTCTAGCAAGTTGACTTCGCCGTGAAAGGAACTGCTGACAAGAAGATTGCATCTTCAGAGAGTGGATGGTGTAAAGTAAAATACATTTTTTGACAATTTATTTTTCACTTAGCCTCTTAGTATAAATGTCATGCAGGGATTGGTGCGTCACCTCCTGGGGGATGCATTGAGCAAAAACAAGTCTGTAGAAAATCTGAAATAAAAAAAAAACGTCTGAAAAAATAAAATAACACAATCATATTCTCACGACGTTTCGGCCACAACACAAGCGGCCTTCATCAGGTGAAGGGACGAGACTGTCTGGAGGACAGACTCCAGCGCTGTCCTCCAGACAGTCTCGTCCCTTCACCTGATGAAGGCCGCTTGTGTTGTGGCCGAAACGTATTGTGTTATTTTATTTTATCAATTTATTATTTTATTCTCATTCTACGTGACTTTACCGAAAGAACCAAAGAAGATGAATCCTTGCAGTCACGAAAGCTTTAAATCGAAAAATAAAAACCGTCTGCTTATTGCTCTCTCTTAAGAACCTGGCTTTCCTGTGTATTTTCAACAGTATGTACTGGCTGTTGGCAGCTCGGTTTTTCATGCAATGTTCTTTGGAGAGCTGGCTGAAAATACAGAAGAAATACACATCCCAGATGTGGATCCTGCAGCATTCTTGACAATGATGAGGTATGTCTAACGATTTGTAATTTACATTATTTCGCAACTTTGTACACTGGCGAGATTCGCATTTATTGAGTGTTTAATACATATTATGTCCTATGTACACGGTTTACTTTTTTGTGATGTAACTTTACATGCTGCCTGTGCGTAGGTACATCTACTGCGACGAGATTGAACTGGAAGCAGATACGGTGCTCGCGACCCTTTACGCGGCAAAGAAGTATATGGTCCCCCACCTGGCACGCGCGTGCGTCAACTTCTTGGAGACGAGCCTAAGCGCCAAGAATGCCTGCGTGCTGCTGTCACAAAGCAGACTCTTTGAGGAGCCGGACCTGATGCAGCGCTGCTGGGAGGTCATAGATGCTCAGGCCGAGCTTGCGCTCAAGTCGGAAGGCTTCTGTGACATTGACTTCAACACGCTGGAGACCATCTTGAAGAGGGAGACTCTGAAGGTGAGGGAGTCCAGCGTGTTCGAGGCTGCCCTCAGCTGGGCCGAGGCAGAGTGCCAGCGTGGGGGAATAGTGTCCACGCTGGAAAACAGGCGGCGCGTGCTGGACAAAGCTCTCTACCTCATCCGTATCCCAGCCATGCCCGTGGAAGAGTTTGCTAATGGTGCTGCCCAATCAGGCATCCTGACGCTGGAGGAAACCAATGGCATATTCCTGTGGTACACAGCCAGCAACAAGCCCATGCTTGAGTTCCCCACGATGCCCAGGAAGGGATTGGTCCCCCAGCGGTGCCATCGCTTCCAATCGTCGGCCTACCGCAGTAACCAGTGGCGCTACCGTGGCCGCTGCGACTCCATTCAGTTTGCTGTGGACAAGCGCGTGTTCATTGCAGGCTTTGGCCTGTACGGCTCCAGCTGTGGCTCAGCCGAGTATGCCGTCAAGATTGAGCTGAAGCGGCAGGGCGTGATCCTGGGACAGAACCTGACCAAGTTCGTGTCAGATGGCTCCAGTAATACATTCCCCGTGTGGTTCGAGCACCCTGTGCAAGTGGAGCCGGACACGTTCTACACGGCAAGCGCCGTGCTGGACGGGAACGAACTGAGCTACTTCGGGCAAGAGGGCATGACGGAGGTGCAGTGCGGCAAGGTCACTTTCCTCTTCCAGTGCTCGTCGGACAGCACCAACGGCACTGGCGTGCAGGGAGGCCAGATCCCAGAACTGATCTTTTTCGCCTGATGCGGGTGACCATTTTCGGCAGTTACATCTCTAAGCACTTGGTGGTTAGGGCTTTAGTCTAACAAGCTTCTGTATAAAGTCATTGATGTATTTGAAGTATACTTGTCAGAGAGCTATACAGTATATATATCCATACCCTGTTTGTAGAACGCTTAATGATTGTATATTATTGTATTGTAGGTGCATTTTGTGTAATACAAATGGTTTACATGTACTGAATGTGTGAACTGGTTGTTTGCAAGAGTGGTAAATCTGGAGATATCTGCCCACATGGCTGGCTTGAAGTACTGTATTTGGCAGTGTTAGAACAAGTATGTAAAATAACTTGCGTGCACACGTGAGTATTTACAGTTGTTGACTCCCCCCCCTTCGGAAAGCGGCTGTCTACCCATATTGTGCAGTTGTGTAACGTGCACCATTCGTTTCTGTTGTATCTCGCCGAGTGCTAGCCTTGTAGCGTGTGCACCATCGCTCTGTTTGCCACGCATTGACTAAATAAAGAAAACACATGTCACCTTTGATGGGTGTGTTTATTCTACCATTTGAGTTTTTAAAACATTTATTACATGTAACAAACCAAATACCATTATATACGGTTTTATCAAGAGCAACTATTAACTTGTTTTAAAACGTCAACGGATTTTTGGGAAATGTTGAGGCAATTCATAAATGTTTGGGTAGATCGGCGGCCATAGCTAGCACTAATTATTTTTATCTGGTCTTGGGCACCTCCTTCAGCCCACACTAGCCAGTGTGGTTAAGTATGGTCGGACAGAATGGCAAATAAAATAAGCGTCTTTCTAAGACATCGAGCAATTTTACAGAGCATGGAAATAACCAACCTTGAAAATGATTATGAATCAATGAGAGCCTCTTGGGCACCACAGCCCACCTCTCCCAGTCTACCAATCTTTGCCATCTGTTTGAAAGTTTAAGAATGCGGGAGATGCATCTGTTGGTTGGATGATGTGCAGAGGGAATGTTCAGAGCCCTGGAGGCCTCAAGTTGCTCATTCCTGCTTGAGTGGAATGCTGGGCAGCAGGGGACAGGTGCGTGGACCTCCACACATGGCTGCATTTCACAAATTCAGTAGATAAATATAAATATAGAACGCCTGCAACAGGTGCCTATTTTTTGAAACATTTGTGCATGGCTCGCACACGTAACAAGCTAGTGCACTCGTTAACTAGGTTACCCCATTTGTGCCTTGCTTTTGAGAGGCGATGGGTGGCACAATCAGAGATGCCGAGGCTGCCATGCACTGGTTTCTCAAGGACACCTGCGACGCACCAATGTTTTTCATATGAAAACGTATACTCAATCTAAAAAAATCTTTGCCACCATAATGATTCTGCCTTCATTGAGTTGAATATTACTTCCAAGTGCTGTCCTTTGTACGGTTGAATATTGACATATGCAGGATTCTGACATGTCAGGGCCAAAACAAGTCCGAAGGAGCAGGCGAAGTCCTTTCATTACTGCAAAGCATACATCGAAAACGTATTCTTCAAATAGAAATTGCGAGCATTATTTAAATGTGACAATGAACAACTTTGTTAATGCAGTTGATGGCAGGTACTGTGCAAGGGTTTACTGACTGTTGCAAACGATTTGCTAAATGCCATCAGCCTTTTAAATCCCTTGTACAATGGTAATGCTTTCGTGCCTATTGCAGCCATTAAGCTGGTTGAAGATGAGAACCGGTCATCACGCCTGCTGTTCCGCAATGAAGCTCAATGCCACTTATAGTTTAATGGCAGCTGTGTAATGTAAATTGGTGTAGAGCACTCCATTGCACACAAATATAATATGCAGACTTCGTGAGGAAGCAGAGCTATAAGTGCCACAGTGGACTTCGCATTCGCGGACTGGAGATATGCTGTATATAGATTGTGTGAGTTTACGAATGCTTAGCAACGTGTTAATAAAACATTTAAGAGACATGCTTTACGTACATAATTAAATGAATTATCTTTTGTTGTTTGCTATTGTTTTCATCATAAACAACTCGGAGCGTGTCTACTGTAAGGAGGCAAGGTGGTATAAATCGGTGATGCCAAACTGCTACTTGTAACTCCACAAATTCCATATTTTCGTCTACTCATCATATCTGTTAATTTGGTGCACATGTGAAACCAGCATTTGCAAGTTATAGCATCATAACCCTGTTAGTGTCATGATATACCCCGTACAAATGTAGGGCATGTTATTTAGTACCATAGCCAACTGAAGTACTTGCAGAAATTTCACTATTAAAACCTTGTCATAACTGCAGAGTACAATGTAAATATCCGATGTAAAAATGTATATAAAGGGTAACAAGATTAATTGATGCGTCCATTAAAATTGCATCTTGGCTTGAAAATACATGCATTCTAGGCTGATGGAGGTACTACAGTGCAGACAACATACCGTGCAGGTGCGCAGCACTCACGAGATTAAAGGAGTCCTTGAAACGTGACACCGAATGGTGAAAATTAACCGAATAATAGAGGGGTTGAATCGTCCCGTGTCTAATGGGGGCGATCCGGGTTAAAACATAGAAGAAGGGAGAGTGCATGGCAAGAGAAATCCTGAGAGCAGAAGTGGTTTTCAAGGCTTTGGAGAGAAGATTAATCGTGGTCTATAAAGGACACAGTGCATATTTATGATAGATGAAGTAGCATATTGGAGACATTCAAATTATAATATCACTGTTACACATTGCATTGTGTCATTCCAGCTTTAAGAAATGGTTTCTAAATATATTAAGAAAATAGTCTTAACGAGACAGTTAGAGTAGACGATTATTTGGTTGCGTGTTGTGCGCGCTGCGTAAGTTTGTGGATTGATTTTCCAGTCAGTCTGGCTCTGTCCCGTGAGCTGTCAGCGAGCCTTCGACAGTTCACTTGGCCTCAATGTGTACCTAGTCTGGCACAAGCGACCGTGGTGACGTCACCCGCCACTTAGTGGTGAATGACGATTGTTTAATGGATTTTCAGGCTGTGGAAGTGAGGTATTTACACAGGAGCATGTATTTTTTTTAGTGTTCACAATTGCATGTTGAGATTTTACTTGGTAATTTTTATTTTATTTAAAAACCACTGATTCATCTTAACAAATCTCTTTCAAATCAGGCTATTTTACGAATGGTAGTTTGCCATTCGTTTTTATAATATAAAAATGCACTTCCAAACCTCACGCTGTCATTGGATCTGTTGTGGATTCATTATTTTGACGCAAGGCACTGGAACATCACTGCTGTCTAGTTAAATGAATATATGCTGTCTGCAAATGTAAATTGTATTTTCAGACTTAATTAGTGCACATTTTCAGTTGCATCCTTACTCTTAGGCTGATGCTTTCGGCCATGTGAGACATTCAATAATTAGCATCCCACAAATAATTATGCAAATAAATGACCGAATAACACCCATTAAAATGAATGCAATCAGATTTAAATTGGCAATTTTAAACATCGTAGATTTTATTACAATTTATAACTTTACAAAAACGTTTAATACTTTCTCACGACACTCACCAACAACATCACTTTCCAAACTGACTCTCAAGAACATTGATTTACAGCTGTTAGCATTGATTAGAAGGGGTCATGAATTAAATATTCCTAGGCATCTGGGGCTGTAAACAAAGCAAACACGGTCCCATTGTGCATGGAAGGATAATGCCATTGCAGCAATTGTGCTCATAGCCGTAAACGGTGTCACCACGTGTCAGTGACTTGTATCATCCTTGTTTAAGGATTATTACATTTTCCGCCCTGATAACGCATTAATACCGGAGACCGGGCAGTAAATAATTACACCTGCTTCATGCAGAAGCGGCAGCAGCATAATAATTACCCTTATCTTCCGATCAAATGTGCAGTCATTAATCTCTGTGCCGTGTTTAATTAGCGTGGCATCAACGGACACTTCCAATGTCGCTTGTCAATGGGAAATATGATACAAGCTGTGTGTTTTCCAACTTAGTGTGATAGGTGCAGTCCCTTATTCAAGGAATGCAAATAATGTTCGAATATCGTACATACACCGTGCCAGCCAAAGTGCAGCACGTGCCTAACATTCAACTAATTGTACGCCAACGTGTGCACTGTTGATCTAAATTTATAATTTGTTGTGCTAAACCATTTTGTACATCCGTTATGTTAACACCACACAACACTTCAGAACTGTCACATGAAATCTGTGAGGAATATGCTCATTAGTCAGCCAACAGCCATGCTGTTCAGCCATACTACTTTGCTCAATTAGCAGAGTTTTTTTTAAAATCTGTATTTATATATACTGTATACAAAATATACGTAGTGCAATTTAATTGGCCTTGTGTTTCCCAAATATATATGTATACTGCGTTTACTTTTCAAACTATTGCACTTTTTTTCACAGTAAAATAAAGTTCATTCCCTTTTGGCTGGTGCACTTGTGGTTGGGGAACAGCTCGTGTGTGTGGTTTTTGTACACCGCGTATAATGTGAAGTTAGTATTCTGAAGGGGCAGTACTCGTATAATGTGAAGTTAGTATTCTGAAGGGGCAGTACTCGACAGCCAACGAAGCACAGGAATCTGTTTCCATGGCTCGGCCCATCCTCCGGATGAGATATGGTGGTCCTTCCCTTGGCCTACCTGTTACGTGTTTCGATTTAAAGCTTTCGTGACTGCAATGATTCATCTTCTTTGGTTCTTTCGGTAAAGTCACGTAGAATGAGAATAAAATAATAAATTGATAAAATAAAATAACACAATAATGTTTTATCAATTTATTATTTTATTCTCATTCTACGTGACTTTACCGAAAGCACCAAAGAAGCTGTTACGTGTTGCCATGTTCTCTTAAATACAAACTAACACAGTACCTTCATCTCGGCGAAATAGATATCGTTAATCCTCCGTTATAAGGGCACGTTGAAGGCTATAAACTCAAAGCATGCAAGATAGACATTCAATCCTTGGGTCTCGCTGCACTGAACAGGCCCACATGGAGAAACTTGTGCCATCACGCTGTGTCCACTTTTGATGAGTGGCGTGTGAGCAGGGGCGGAGCCAGGATTTTGACTTTGGGGGTGGGCTGACTTCAATATTCTGAGATATCCAGTGTTTGGTTTCCAATGGGCGCCACAAATGTATAAAACAAATTTTATTGGATTTGAACGCAGAGTTTATTAATAGGTCGGAGCCGCTGACGTGGCTAATAAGTTCGATAAGTTCGAAAGGCTGCCGCTCAAGCAGCCTGCAGGGCAGCACACAAGGTGGCAGCCTGCAGGGCAGCACAAAGTGGCAACCTGCAGGGCAGCACACGAGGTGGCAGCCTGCAGGGCAGCAGCACAAGGTGGCAGCCTGCAGGGCAGCACACAAGGTGGCAGCCTGCAGGGCAGCACGAGGTGACAGCACAAGGTGGCAGCCTGCAGGGCAGCACACAAGGTGGCAGCCTGCAGGGCAGCACACAAGGTGGCAGCCTGCAGGGCAGCACACAAGGTGGCAGCCTGCAGGGCAGCACACAAGGTGGCAGCCTGCAGGGCAGCACACAAGGTGGCAGCCTGCAGGGCAGCACACAAGGTGGCAGCCTGCAGGGCAGCACACAAGGTGGCAGCCTGCAGGGCAGCACACAAGGTGGCAGTCTGCAGGGCAGCACAAGGTGGCAGCCTGCAGGGCAGCACAAGGTGGCAGCCTGCAGGGCAGCACAAGGTGGCAGCCTGCAGCATTTTCAGCAGCCGGATATCCGGTTATCCCGATTACCGACTTTCCCAAAATTTCAGGGGGGGCTGAGCCCCCCCAGCCCCCCCCTGTGGCTCCGCCCCTGCGTGTGAGGCCTCTGCAGGAGAAGACTGCAGATCTTAAAGGCTAGTTGCTTTAACCCCCCCCCCCCACACAACAATAACGACATTTGCAAGATCTGTAACCGCATTTGTAAGTCTAGGATCGGACTCATCTACCGTGTGAAAAGCCGTAAGAAAACAATTCAAGCCAACCATATTTGAATACTTATCTCTCAAAGCGATACGGGAATCCAGAGAGTGTGCATTTGGTGGCGTCTGTGCGATCGTATTACAATACTTGAGGGCTACAACACACACCCCAACCGAATGTTTCAGCTGGTCTCTTTAAGGGCACTTGGACTGGCCTGCGATTGTGAGAATTCAAGCAGACATTCCCCATTCATATTAGAAGCACTGAAATAGATGTGCACGTTTCATCCCACTGGACAGGAGCAACCTTGGCAAGGGTCAGAAGTATTCTGCGTGATGTCCCCTTGACTTCTTAGGAGCGACGGGGATTAATTAGCGTCCCTCCCCAGTAATTGTGTCCCTTAATATGCAGGGATCTTTTCAACCAGCCTATTACGGCGATATTTCCATGATGCTTGGAAACTGTGGTGTCTTGTTTCCATGAGAACGATAACTAGGCTTCTCTTGGCCCAGGAATAGCTGAGGAGCAGCGGCAAGAAGAACAGAGCGGACTGAGATGTTGTGCACTGCCTCGCGAGCCAAGAAGCTGTGCGCTCACTTTCCTCCGGCCTACTGAATGTGGCTTGAGGATGAGGCACTAAGTTATTTTCAAAAAGCTACTGATGAGAGTTTATTAAAGACGTGTGCTAGATTAGACGACTTTAAGCTAAAATATATATGTTTTTAATCTATTATTTATACGTTCTCCCGTGTGTGTTTAAAAATAGTATTTCCAGCGGTTTATATGTTGACTTAATATATAAGAAATTGTGTGCAATGAAAGATCTTACCAATACGATGTTGACTGAGCAGTGAACCCAGAAATGAAGTTTAATGTTTGGCTGCCGAAACGTCCCGAGACGGAATTACTACGCTTGGACAAACATCATCTTTGGTAGACTATTTCCTTACCCATAATTGTTTCGATATCAACATCGTATTTTGTTTAACACAGACGTGGCTGAAAGCTAAATGCATGTGCGTACCGCTTTCACCT